AGTGGAAATATTTTGTGTTCTTCAATTAAGCCCTTAAAGAGTCTTGTTTTGATAACATTGATTAAATGTTATTTAAAATAGCAAGTAAAAACAGTATGATATTGGTGTAAAAACAGGCATGGAGATCAGTGGAACAGAATAGAGAGCCCAGAAATAAACCCATGCCTATATGGTCAATTAATGTCTGACAGAGGAGCCAAGATACACACTGGGGGACAGGACAGTCTCTTCAGTAAATGGTGGTGGGGGAACTGGACAGCCATGTGCAAAGGAATGAAACTCGGCCACTACCTTACACCATACACAGAAATTAACTCAAAATGGATCAAAGGCTTGAACGTAAGACCTGAAACCATAAAATTCCTAGAAGGAAGCCTAGGCGGCAAGCTCCTTACATAGATCTTGGTGGTGAGCATTTGAATCTGATCCCAAAAAGAAAAGCAAGAAAAGAAAAATAAGTAAATAAATGGAACTAGATCATACTGAAGAGCTGCATAGCAAAGGAAACCATCAACACATTGAAAAGGCAACCTCCTGAATGGGAGAAAATATTTGCAAGTCATATATCTGAGAAGGGGCAAATATCCAAAATATATAAAGAACACAACTCAAAAGCAGAAAAAAACATAATTTGATTAAAAAAATGGATAGACATTTTTTCTCCCAAAGAAGATATTTGGACAGCCAACAGTTACATGAAAAGATGCCCAACATCACTAATCATCAGGGAAATGCAAATCAAAACCACAATGATATATCACCTGTTAGAATGGCTATTATAAAAAAGACAACACATGTGGGTGAGGACATGGAGAAAAGGGTCATGCAGTGTTGGTGGGAATATAAATTGTGCAGCCACTATGGAAAACAGTATGGAGGTTCCTAAAAAAATTAAAAATAGAACTACTACATGATCCAGCAATTCCACTTTTGGGTATTTATCCAGAAAAACCAAAAACACTCGAAAAGATGTGTGCACCCCCTGTTCATTGCAGCATTATTTACAATAGCCAGGATAGGGAAATAGCCTAAATGTCCATCAGTGGATGAATGGGTAAAAAATATTATTTATTTCTAAAAAAAATGAAGTCTTGAAATTTGCAACAACATGGACGGACCTCAAAGGCAAAGTGAAGTAAATCAGAGAAAGACAAGTACCGTATAATCAATTTCTCTTATACGTGGAATCTAAGACAAACAAATCCAAGCTTATAGATACAGGAAATGAATTGGTGGTTGCCATAGATGGGGGTGGGGATTGGGAAAAATGGGTGAAGGGGGTATAAACTTATTTTTAAAAACTTAAATGTATAATAGTCATGTGGAGCTGGTGGCTTCTGTATTGGACAGCACAGACCTAGAGCAATTGGGGTGATTTCTATTGAGCTAAACTCACTCTGTGCATAACTTACACTATTTCATTTAACCCTTAAATCAGCCCTGTTTTGCTGATGAAGAAAATGAAGCTGAGGGGTCAGGCGATGTGCCCATAGTTTCACAGCTAGGAAATGGCTGAGAGGAAACCAGGCACAATGCTCTTATCACTGTGAGATGAAGCCAAAGCACACACAGGACCAGGTTAAAGACTTTGGACATTAGAGAGTTTCCTCTCTAGTTGACCAGCTAGAAAGTAGAGAACCATACACCCCCGCCAAGGAAACTGACATTTTGGGAACCACTTACCTGACCCCATCTGGGTATCACGGAGCCAACAGGCCCCACGTTGCTGAATTCCAGCACCATGGCCTTTCAAAGGGGCTGACAACTCCATATCAGTACCTCAGCCCACCAAGTACCAAATAGGTCACCAGTGAATTTTGGCCAGGTAGAAGGTTCTAGAGTGAAACCAAAGCACCATTTTGGAAGGCATAGTGGGGGAAGCCAACTGGGGACTCAGTGAAGGAGAGTTTTGGGTTTGAAGCTTAGGTTTGCTTAGTCTCACTGATTGTTCTTCCTGCGATAGGGCTCCATCTAGTGAGGTTTCAATAACGTATCTTCCATATTTAGAAGACATAAGATCCTCTTGTTTACATTTGGAGATCTTTCCCGGAGAAATTAGGACCATAAACAGGACCTGAGTCTATGGAAATGTGGAGGGGCATTCTTGAGAGCCAAACCCGGAATGGAGGTGGTAAGTCTGAGTTTCCTGGAAGAAAGGCACCCATCCCAGTGAGGCTGCTCTTTAGGGAGGCTGCTGAGAAGGGGACACTTGGTGACGACCAGAATGCCTTCCCACTAGCCAATGGGAAAAGATGATCACAGTGACAAGGCCAAGTAGGGAGAGAATGAGAGTAGTTGAGAATCGTGCATTGAAGAGAGCCCAGAAGGACTTGTTACCACCCCCAATAAGTACCCGAGGCTGATTTGTCAACCAGACACACTTGCAGAAATAAGCAAGGGGGAAACACAGGGCCTGGCATTTTAATAGTTTTTAAGAATATGCCAGCTGATGACAATGGCTTCCACCTTGAGATGCCTGCAGGCAGCTCGTGAGGTTTAAAGAAGGACCCACTCAGAGATGTCACTTGGCGCCTGGAGTTGAGGTCCTCCATGACTCCTATGGAGCACATGCTTAATCGAATTAATAAGTGAATGAAAGAAGAGCTGCACTCTAAGCAGAATGAATAAAGGGTGGGGCTTATTCTGCGTAGTAGAGGCAGAACTGTAAAAAACTCATTTCTGATTATTAAGGCAGTCCATTGTAGAGCAATTGGAAGTTGGAAAAATTAAAACCCTGCCTAATCCCAATGGTGTGACTGTTAACATTTTGGCATATTTTCAATACATTATATGGTTTTAAAATTTTAATTTGACATTATACACCTTTTTTTATGGAGCTTGTAGGTTTTATTTACCAACTTGGCCTATCATTAAATGTTCTTTTGCAACATGATTTTAAAAATAATTGCAAGGTGTTACACGGTATGGAGCATTCAGGGCTGCTTCCAGTTTTTCACTGTGGTAAACATCCCTGGGCCTAAATCTATCCGTGATACAGTGTATTTCCCCTGTAAGCAGAATATGACAGTGCCCAACACTTGGGGTCATTCTTTTAATTATTTTCCAAAGATACCTTGTTTTAATTTTTCATTTCTTGCTTACTAGTGAGGTGATCCTGTTTCTCCTCTCTCCATATACTTAGCCATTCTTTGTATTCCTTGTGAATTGTCTGTTTGGGGCCTTACACATGTTGGCCGGGGTGTTGGCCTTTCCTTGCGGTGGAAAGATATTTACAAAAGAGGGCTATTAACCCTCTGTCAGTGGTTAATAGTGACTTCCTTTTTCTAGTTGTCCAATCATGGCCAGTTTAAAAAGTATTTAGGGACATATGGCTGACAATATTTGAAAGAGAATCTTATTTTTATTCTCTGGACAACCACTTCTTTAATTTTTTCCATGTTCTCAGACATCTCTGTGTCAACTCAAGCCATAGGACCGAGAGATTATTTAATGAAAAGTGTAGGTGGAATTTCCCCTTCTGACTTGTTTAAGAATCATGCCTCATTCTGCTGTGGCTCTGGCTCTGCCTGAGGAATGCAGCTCAGCTACAAAGCCCCATTGCCCATAAGCTCATACGGATTTGAAGTAAGTCACCACTCGTACCCACATGGGTTTGCTTTCCCTGGCCAGAAATTCCTCATCAAGATTTATAAAGAGCCCTGGCTGGTGTGGCTCAGTTGGTTGAAACGTTGTCCTGTGCACCGAAGGATTGTGGGTCGATTCCAGTCAGGGCACATACCCAGGTTTCAGGTGTGGTTCCTGGTTGGGGCAAGTATGGGAGGCAACCGATCAGTGTTTCTCTCTCTGTCTCTCTCCCTCTCCCTTCCTGTCCTTCTTGAATTGGTGAAAACATATCCTCAGGTGTGGATTAAAAAAAATTTTTTTTGAACTGATAAAAATAATAAGAATTATCTGTCCAAGAATTGTGTTGGTCAGTAAGACCGCCAATGGAACACCTGAATAGTCCTCATATTTAAGACCTTCCCTTTCCCGCTGCCGCCTTGGGAGGAGGAAATCCTAAAGGACATCTCTTCTGTCCCCCGTTTCCCCTACCTCCTTGAGGCTCTCTAAGCTGCTTTCCTGAGGCCCATCATGTGGGCAGGGCTATAAGCACTTCTCTCTGACTACTCAGACCACACCAGAGAGAATCAGTGAGAGGCAACCTCTGGGTCAAGCATTCAAATTGGTTACACCATAAATATTTAAGTACCCACTATATGCTAGGCCATAGGGGTACAAATGAACAAAACAGAAGTCATGACCTGAAAGAAGCAAGTCCTTCCTGAGAGGGGGCACAGACGAGTAAGAAGGCGATGGCAAGTTCCGGGGCGAATGTTCCAAGCCTTATTTTATAGTGCTTTCGGGCGGGAGGACGGGAGAGGCAGTGATGGGGGCCCTGTGACTTAGATCCTTTTGTGTATTGTGGCCTTCTGCACTGCACCTCCCCAGCCTTCTGAGTAGAAGGACCGTCAGCTGAGTTTTGCTTGTACCAGTAAGCGAGTTGCACAGTGGTCAAGAGCAGAGGCCTGAATTTGGGGTCTGAATTGGGAAATGCCATTAGCAGATCCTAAGGCAAGTGGTATGACCCTCTTTGAGAACTGTTTTATCTGAACAGCGCCTCCTTCTGGGCTGTAGTGATGGGTAAATGAGAGTATAATAGTGGTGCCAGTTATAGGAACTGCTGCCACTTCTTGAGCCAAACTCCCTTCCAGGCTTATGTTGTCTTGCAGCTCCCTTGCTGAGTGCAGAGCTGATCATTAAGACAGATTAAATGGAATCCTTCTGGCCTCTACCCCGGAGGTCAGAAAAGAGCTGAGGAAGAAATTACCTGGTCAGACTCTGGTTCCGTGGTGGCGAGGGGTGTTGTCAGGGTGTGCCTGCCACAGGTGGGTGGAGCCAGAAAGGACAGCTGCCTCTCCAGACTCTCAGCAGTGCAGATGTGAAGGGAAGTGCGCCCCATGCAAGCCTGGCAGCCAGTCCTTTCCTCTGTCTCCTCACAGGATGGACCCTGCAGCTTATGCTGAGCTGTTGAAAGAATCTGGCAACCAGGTTTTTAAGAATGGGAACTATTCTTTGGCCATCAGAAAGTACGATGAAGCTATCCAGGTTCTCCTGCAGTTATACCAGTGGGGGTAAGTGTGTGTATTTTCTTCCCACCTTTCTCAAGTAAATTGGAACTTAGCTGCTTTTGTTTTCTTGTTGTTTCTTATCACACTGCCTAGTTTCTGTTTTCTTTCTCGCCCACATCCTGTTCATCTTCTCTACGTAGCCAGCTCAGAAACTGAACAGAGCACACTGGAGTAATAAGGGAAATGGAAAGTGAAACATGAGGGACTGTTGATAAACTTTACAAAACTTTTCCTTCTGTCTGGTTACGGGATCAGAGTTCCTGGGATGACCGAAGAAGTCCCTAAACTTCTCAGTTGTCATTCATTTCATCTTCTTGAGTACCCACACCCTAACCCCCTGGCCACAGTGCACACCACTTCAGAACTGAGGCTCACCTCTTCCCCTGCCCCTTCCACTTCTAATAGACTTGTTCCCAAACATTTTAATATCATGATAATGCTTAATAATGGAGGACCCGAAGAGCTTTTGTTTATGTAGGTTTTTAGCTGTCAGTATAGTCTGTATCAGAGCTTAAAATGGAGAGAAATTTAAAGTATACATTTATTTATCTATTTAAAAATATCAATAAGAAATCCATTACATGTTAATATAAATAACATTTTAAAGAAAAATAACTATATTTTCCAAAGCAAACAGTTTGGTGAAAAGACTGGCACATTTTACATTTTTACAAATCCCTTTAATATCTGTCTCAGTAGAAGACATGTGGCTTCTACATTCAATCTGTTTTGATAGCACACGTCTTGTAGCCTCTGAACATCTCCTAAACACGTGTGAGAGAATGAGCGTGAACAAGGTACGCAGTGTCTTAGTATTATTATTGTATTAGTTTCCTGTTGCTGCTGTAACAAGTTACCACAAACTTAGTGGCTTCAAACAATACTGTCTTACAGTTCTGGAGGTCAGAAGTCCAAAATGAGTCTTAACAAGGCTAAAATCAAGGTGTTGGCAGTGATGGTTCCTTGCAGAGGAGAACCCATTTCCTTGTGTTTTTGAACTTTTGAGTGGCTGCCTATTTTCCTTGGTTTGTGGCCCCTTCCCCCATCTTCAAAGCTCAGCATTCCAGTCTGTGTCCATCATCACATCACCTTTTCCTCTGCTATAGCCCAGTTTCTTCCTCTTTCTCCCTCACTCACTCCCTCCCTCTCTCTCAAGGTTGCTTGTAATTGTATATATTCTGGGACAATCTCTTCTCTAGATTTATAAATAAATACATCTTTGAAGTCCCTTTTGCCATAAAAGGTGACATTATTGAGGGCCATTATTCAGTCTACTACAGTTTTGACCTTGTGGACTACCTGAAATAGTCTTGGGGGCCCCCTTTCCCCCTGAAGTTTCCAGATCATATTTTGGTAACAGCTGTAGCAGAAGAAACAGAGCTTGGCATTTGTAGGGTAGATGCAGCCTAAACTTGTTCTTAGAAATGGCACTGAATTAAATTACTGAAACATGGCTCCCACTCCTTACCTCCCTCTCACCATGGTATCTATACTCTGCCTGGATTTGAGTTGAGTGTAATCGACTTGGGCCTGTATTTCTGTCATTCTGCCCCCTTCTGATTCAGATCAGAACTGTGTCAGAACCGGGCCTGGAGCTCTCATTCAGGGCAAAACATTGGGCTTTCTTAAAGAGGAAGGTGGTGGAAAGTGGTTATGGCGACAGACCGACCCCACACTGTGAGTGCTCAAACCTCAGCTCCACCACTTAATAGCTGTATGACTACTAATGGGACTTCTGCCTGGACCCTCACAGGTTGCTTTTCATGGACCTTCCCGACATTGCGTCTCTTGCCCATTACCTGCTGCCTGCATTCCTGCAGACATAGGGATTTAGACGCATGTGGTTTACAGAGAAGGGAACTGAGAGAAGCAGGATAGGGCAGGGGAAGGCTCCAAGTAGAGATGTTGTCTCATCCAGAGTTCCCTTCAGCCTGGTCCCCCGGGAACTTTGGAGTACGAGTTGTACTGCAGAGCTGGCCCTGCTTTGGGGCAAGGGGGCTGACCCTTCTTTGGTTGTTAATCCTTACTCGTTTTTCCACTGATTTTTTTTAGAGAGAGAGGAAGGGAGGGAGAGAAAGAGAGAAACATTGATGTGAGAGAGACACATCTATTGGTTGCCTCCCGCACGCACCCTGACCAGGGCCGGGCATCGAACCTGCAACCCAAGTATGTGCCTTTGACCTGGAATTGAACCCATGACCCATTGGTGCTCAGGCCAATGCTCTAACCACTGAGCCAAACCAGCCAGGGCAGGGATTTGACCTTTTAATTCCCATGTTAGTCCATCATTGGTTGTAGGCTGTTGGGCCCCTGGGAGTTGTGCTAGGGAGTGGGGCTGTATTAGTCAGCTTGGGCTTCCATAACAAAATACCATAGACTGGTTGTTTAACCAACAGAAATTTATTTCTCACAGTTCTGGAGCCTGGTACGCTGCTGGCCAGTTCAGTTCCTGGTAAGAACTCTCTTCCTGATTTGCAGATGGCCACCTTTTCACTCTGTCCTTATATGATGGAGAGAGAATACAAGGAAGCTCTCTTGTGTCTCTTATAAGGGAACTAACTCCATTGAGAAGGCCCCACCCTCATGACCTCATCTAAACCTAATCTCCTTTCCCAAAGTCCCATCAACAAACACCATCACTGGGGAAGGGGGTGGGTGCGGGGTGGAAGGGGTCAATGGGGAGAAAAGGGGACATTTGTAATATTTTGAACAATAAAAACAAACAAACACCATCACATTGGGGGCTAGGGCTTCAACATATGAATTGGGGTGTGGAGGGGAGCACAATTCAGTCCATTGTTGGAGCATAACTTCCTGGGGAGAGGGTGCTCCCATTAAGCTGAGGATAAATCGCTGGAGCCCCTAGCTGCAGCCAACACTCACTGCAGGTGGGGATGGCTGCACTGGCCTGGGTCTGGGCCGGACACCACAGGGCATCTACTACACACCAGTCACAGCTCCCTTGCCAATCACCCACTGGATGCCCCACTTCCTCTTCTGTGTTTCTGGGGCCTCATCTCTTGCCCTAGATGGGATGATGGGTGCTGAGAGAAGCCGGACACTCAAAGCACTGGGGTGATTTGTATCATATTCACAATTAAAATATATTCAATAGAAAAGAAGTTATAAGTCTTCCTTTCCCCTGCTGTGTGTCTTGAATTCAATGTCATTAAAAGCTGGGAGCAGAGGATTTGGGAGTGAGAACAAATTTGTACCATGAAAGTATCTCAGGCTTTTTAGGGATCTATAAGGGTCAGCTCTGATAGGCATACCTGGGACATTTTCTGCTGAAACCCCATCAGGATGGCAGCAGCAGGGATGGTCTTCAAGGATTATTTTCTATATTTGCAGGAAGATAGTTTTATGGATCTCCAGCTTGTTTTTTCTCACAGGGTTCCCCCCAGGGACTTGGCTGTGCTACTGTGCAACAAATCCAATGCATTTTACAACCTTCGAAAGTGGAACGAGGCATTTGTGGCTGCCAAGGAGTGTCTGCAGTGGGATCCAACCTACGTGAAGGTATGATGCGAGTGACTGCTGGGGGCTGCTGCCTCCTTCCTCTTAGCTTGCCTCCTTCCCTCCCTTCTTTTAAAAATGAGAGCGCTTCTCCCAACTGTCTCTGCACTTCAAACAGATGCCCATGGGGCCTGTGAGTGGTACCCAGAGAAAAGTGAAACCAGTGATGGCCAAGTGTTGAAATGTCCTTGTATGGGAGAGCAGAGCTGGGCCTCTTGGTGGAAGGAGTGCGGTGGAGATCCTCTTGGAGCTTGTTTTGTTATGAATTAGTGACACGCAAATTCAGTCTGTTCATGTTTTTTGCTGTTTGTAGGTTTCACTTTAGCAAAGCTTTACTTCTGATGCAAGCTTGGTGGATGACATGACACTGATTCTTGAGGCAGCATTTCTTACAGTAGAAATAAAGTCCTTTGGAGGGATCTAGGGGAGTTTGAGAGGCTAGTAAGACCCTAAGGTCAATAAATAACCATCTGATTGTTTTTTCAGCTACATACCAGTGCAGATTGTTTACTTTGATTGAAGGGAGCAGGGAACAACTTCAGTGTTCCTTGACAGCCTCCTTTCCCGGAACACTGTAGTCTAGGATTTTTTTCATTCCTTTCTTCCTGCTCAGGCTGTGATTTGAGTCATGGATAAATAAACCACACATGTAATTGGAAGCAGGCCAGCTTCCTTCTCTCTGTGTCATATGTTAGATGTTGTGTATGTCACAGATTCGAAAGTGATTATTTTCTTAGCAGTTAGAAAATGACAGAGGAAGTGTGGTCCAGAACCTCATGTGGCAACCCATGTGCAGTGCCTGTTAGAAATCTGTTTACACAGAGGTGAGATCCTTTCTAGAGTCCATTTCCCCGTGTCCTCAGTCCTGCTCGTCCTTTCCGCAGCACAAGAGAGGAGATGAGTGTTGTTGAGGTTTGCCTTTTTCTCGTTCCAGGGATACTACCGAGCTGGCTATTCCTTGCTGCAGTTGCTCCAACATTATGAAGCTGCTCACATGTTTTTTGAGGGTCTTAAATTTCTGCAGGGCAGCAATGATCAGAGCCAGTTTGCTGATTTCCTTGTGGGAGTGTTTACCACTATGGGCAGTAAGTCTGACTGGGGAAGCCTTCTTCCCCTCCCCTCCCCTCC